TTTTGACCGTCTGGACATATCGTGTGGCGCTGCTCTAGCAACGGCTTATTGGGTCAACATCGCCTCAGCCGCACTGAGTAGGATTCTTCACGCCGCTGCAGCTACAGTAGTCATTGCGCAGTCTTTTTGTACTCGACCTCTGAGCCAGCCCGTATTATCTGTTAAGCATCAAACAGTATCACGTACATACGGAAAAATAAACTCGATCTTATCAGTTCACTGGCTAGTTGTTGGTGCCGCCGCAATGATAAATAATCCTTTTCAGTTTTTAATACCGGATTGAATGGTGCCTGCTTAAATGGTCCCCTAGGACACTGGAAGCAAAGGGACGGTACTTTCGTCGCTTCAGTCCGGTATCAAAAACTGAAAAGGAGTATCACGTGTAAGATAGGATTTTCCGTAAGAGTACTGTGTCTAAGTTTTTAGAGCACCTTCCAAAGCGAAAACTGGGCAGCTGCTGGTTATTGATGCAAGAAATGCAGTTAACTGTTCTTTATTTGTTTTTTAATATTCTTGTTAATGAAAATTAGCTATCTGGATTGTGAAAGCAGCTCTCCTTTCCTTTTCCTGTCAGGCAACTCGAATGCACTGCTCCATTTTTTATGCTGCCCATTTTTCAATGATATACATTTTCAGCGGTTGTCTCATCGTTCTTTCATTCTTTTTGATTTAATTGTTCTCTTGCGTCACTAGACTTCAGAACCATTAGCACTGATTAACGGCAATTGAAGAACAGCTTTAACTTCTTTTCTATTTTCTTATTTCGGCCACCAACTTAGTGATTATTCGTGCATGTGATATTCTGTTTTCTTCAACATCTAAAATGCGATTGTGTCAACGTCTTCTCATCCATATGACCTTTTCAAACGATTATGTCGCACGCATGAGTAACTTTGCGGTTCAGACCGGTCTCGGATGATAAAGGCAACACCAACGTTCTTCGTCTAAATTGAAATTTACGTTCTTCTGCCCTTGTCTTCCAACTTTCATTGGTTTCACTCTAACTTCACATGACTGCACTTTCAGCAGTCGCTATTATTCGATCTGTGAATTGTCCCGTCAGAAATAGATGCTTCAGTTTCTGCTTGATAAAAGCGTAATACAATGTCGTGCGGATTTCCTTAACAAGGGAAAGTAATTTGCATGTATATTAAAAAGTCATAGCACCCTTCACAAAATGGCACCGTGTACTCGATTCATTATATGCATATTCTCCAACGTTTCGGATCATGCTTGGTCTGTCTTTTGGAGAGAGAGAGAGAGAGAGACATTATGTGAAACAGAAGATGGTTCTGTAGAACATGATCAAGTTACAATGTTGGGCTGCTAAAGAACAGATTCAGAAATTTAAAATTTTTAAGGTAAGTATGAAGGGATGTAAAATAAGTGGTCACTATACATGTATGATTCACTGAAGTTCTACCTTGTTTCTTTTGCCGCTTAAATATATTTACTGAACTTTCTGTTAAGTTCCGAGAAACATTGGAACGTTGCTGGTAAAGAGCCGTTCGGATCCGCATATGAGCCAGTCGGGCAGTGCGCCGTACGCTCAGGCCGGATCGGTCGAAGTTTTGATGATTCCGTTGGGTAACTCTCCAGAACCGGTTGGCCTTCTTCCAGAAGACAAGGTGATCGAGATGATGAAGCAGGAAAAGGCCGACAACATTTCGAGAAGTTGCCATGAGAAGCGCACTCGATTTTCGCTGGTTGCTGATTCGGACTCAGTTGGTGAGCGCTAGTCGTTCTCAGGCTTGCTGAGTTCACGTCAACGAATCGTATTTGTTTCAGGCGCTAGCGACCGTTTCGACGCCGCCAGTGACGACCAGCAGTCGGTTTGCTCTAGCGCCGAACAGATCACTAACCCGGATATGGCGACATTGAACGACAATTTTTCAGACGTTGATGTGCTACCGATATCGGCGAACGTCAGCGGACGAGCGTCTCCAGACGTGTCCGGTAGGGACACGCCATCATCGTCGCACATCGGCGACCAAGGTGATACTAGGAATTAGAAAGTCGAATTTCAGTTTTATGTTTTGTGTATATCATCTCGTAAGGTTTGTTTTGACTGAGCTATAACGTTAGTGAAAAACTTTTCAAGGCAGTCTCAGTTCTGCTTGATATCACGACTTTATTCTGCAGGTGATTTAACAATAGCAATGTAGTTAATTTGTATAAACGGCAATAAGCGACCCATGCTTTTTGTCTGACGATTTGATACCTGATGAGCCAGGGCTGAGAGTGATGTGAGATTGACACGTTCTGCAGGTTAACATTAGAGAAAAGTTGCAAACACAAGTTCTGCAATAGTAATGCTAAGAAAGCAGGGAAAGAGCTACGTTCGATGGTTCTGTCTATACTAAAGTAGTTGTCGAAGCTATAGAAGCTCTATTCGAGTTTTCGCACAATGCAAAGTAAAAGCTCTTGTTTAACAAATAAATGATACGCAGTGATCTTAGCTCGAACGCTTCCGTCTATTTGCTTCCCTCCCATGCGTCTAGAAACATGACGAACGACAGCCGCTTCTGTTGAACCCGAACCGAAACCAGGCTATCACTTTTCATTTATTGTACATGGTCTGATTTTTAATATACTTCTACTTTAAGTAGTTCAAACTAGTTTCAAGGATTTTGTTTGCGGATAGAATATTTCACATACATCCTTACTTTTCGCTTATTACAGAAGAACGTTTTGAAAGTATATCATTATAATCTCATGTTATAATGTTACTGTATCAAATAATCGAGAAACATCAAAGAGTGTTCGTACACCGGAGTATGGCAAGTAGCGCATTGCTCCTCCTAGGTCAGATTTTACTGTTTATCGCACCGCTCCCTTGCTTCTAGCTACCGACGGGCCCATTTAAGCATGCACATCTCCGTACCGTTTGAGTACAGATGAATCTCGCCACTTCAGGAATCAGAACTCTCTGTTACTGCATACACAAAAATATTGATACTAAAACGCGCTCAGATAATGAAGTCTGGTTTCAGAGTAGCTTTCCGTTTGTTAACATACGCTCTCCAGTATAGGTACCCAAATTTTTGTTTTTGCGGTATTGGGTTCTGGCGAAATATGGTTCATGACGTACAGAAGATCGCTTCAGCGAATAAAATGATGCGAAATGCATTTAGCGCTACAGGTGCTCACATACTGTTGAAAGAGTTAGGAGTAAATGTACGGTACAATACACCATCAAATCCGGTTTTAGAGAAGTTCACTGTTGACATGCGAAATCATAATATGTCTCAAAATATTCCTCATCCCTCCAGTTATTAAGGTTGTACGAGGGGCAAAGTATTGTCAGTTTCGTCACTGAACCTGTCAGTCTGCTTTATATGATTAATAATAATAACAGTAATACGATATACTGTAGTAGTTGTTTCTTATCTGACGATGTTATGGCTTTCCGTGTCAAAACGCGCCATTTGAGTTGAAAACATCAGTTTCGGCAGAATGCTTGTCTCACACCATGAATCGCGAAGAAAGATATATGCTACTAACTAGGAATAAAATTAGATGGAGTTTCAAGAACAGCTGATTATAATACCCTATGCCATTGTTTAAAGATTAAATGCCGTGGGGTAGCATTCACGAGTGAAGTCTAGCAATACGTTGAGATGTACGCCCTGATCGGTTACGAGAGCGCGGTGAGGCAGAAGCGAAACTGGTCTGCGTTGTTGAAGAAGAAGCTAAAAAGTAGTTTAAAATTGGCCTTCCAAATCTGTCTACACGCTTTTCGCTTCCCTTTCTGTGTGGTTTTAAGTACTGCTTATTGATCAAAAGAGTGAGATTGCGGGTACAAGGGAAGAAATGAAGTTCCTTCAAAGAATTGTTGTCCTTGACAAACTTCGGAGCACAATAGTCTGTTGCGCACGAGCCGTTTCATCGTCAAGTCGACGAATCGCAAGCTTGCTGGCATGGGCAGGTGATCAGAATGTCAGAAGAGGGATTCGTAGGATAGATTGTTTTTGCAAAGCTACATGGCAAACGGCTAAGGGCCAGATCTATTACGGGATGTTTAGAATTCGTTTAATGTCTGCATTGGCTCGTTTTAAAATCCACTCATGGAACTCTCACGAATTGGCGATCGATATTTAATTTTTGCCGGAGCTGAACCCTGCAACACGAAAGGAATAATGATCTGTAGAAATGAATGATGATAATTTTTCCCTGCATGGTTAGCAGCATTTAGGTGAGGTAGGCGCGTGATTGAATTCGTTGACACAACCAAGAAGCGTTTGTGCTTACAGCTTGAAGGTTTTATCATCCTAAAATGGCGGCTTCAAGAATTTAGCAGATATATTTGTTACGTAAAAACATCGAATTACTGAATGTGTCTTGAAGGTGCAGTGGGCGAAGCTGATTAAGGTACAAACTGAGAAAGACTGATCATTCGGGTAGGATAACTTCGAAATACTAAACTAGTCTCGAAGGTAGTCCATTTTTTAATGTGGTTCAGGGTCGATTAATATTTTGGTAGTGTTAGGTGGTTTCGAGAAAAAAGATAGCAGATTCTGCTTAGAAAAGTGTTAGTTGAGCTTTTGATCACTCAGCAGGACCTCCAAACCCAGTCGACTTTTCATACCTGTCTGTTTTGTGCATCGATCTGTCAAATGTCGACTTTCTAATGACAGACGTGTCTTTTCTACCAGATGGCTAATGATTTTGTGACTCTTGTCCTCCTACATTGGCGCCGCATTCTTCTTTAAGATGTACATTCGTGATTCTCTAATGCACCGCCACTAGAAGCCATCCAGTTTTTTCTGACAAGCTTATTAGCGTTAGTTAAGAGCCGACTACAACCACTATACATTTCCGTTGTTCCGTTGACTTCATTGAGATTCCGCATTAATGACGGTATGACACAAGAAGTCTGGTGACAGAAATTTTCAGTAGGAACTTTCAAAGTTCTTCATCTTCTTTTCTCCGCCAGGTGCGGAAACTGTTACGTAGCGGAGTTGTGCGTACCTCCAAGTTATGCAGATAAAAGCCTGTCTTTAATATCGGCGAAATTAGACAGTCATTTGTATATATCTACTCTAGCAGATGATATTATCTAGCCAGGTTTCAGCGATTTTAAGCGTCTTAATATTTACAGCTTTGTGTTTTGCAAAATAACGCTCAAATCTGCAACTGTTAAACTACAAATGATGGTTGAAATACTAGTTGATCAGTAGGTTCACTCTCCAACTGATGAAGTTTTCGCAGCGGCTGGGTCACCACTGATCCTCTGAATATTTCTGACGTGTGTATTCGCAGTTGAGCGATAAACATATCTTCTTCACGGATGATTCGCAACTGGCACAGGTATCATGCATGTGAATCAGATTATGAATTGTGATAGATGTAATGTATTGTGTTGATTTGTGCGCTGAAATTGGTGTATTTGATGAAAGCATCAAAGACTCTCCACTGAAGTTAAAATCACCATGCAGATGTTACAGTTGCTTTCGGTTATTTGCCCACGAACGGTGAATGTTTGATGTGTTAATTTATCTGCTTGTTCCATCTAGATACTACTCAATCAGAGGACCGTCCGGCGAGCAGCATTGATGTGGACAACAGCGGCGCGCGTTTGTCGTCGCTTCAGGTTGCGGGAGCGAAGGAGGCTGCGATCGAAGAAAAGTTTGGAAAGTTCGAGATTCCACCACCGATTCGCGAAAGGCATCGTAAGCGGAAGTCATTTTTATTCTAATTGATTTCTTATAGCTTGCTTGACTCTACCGTTACTTGTATTTTTGCCGCAGTAGACCTTTGGTCGCATTTTTATGTTTGGTCGAATTTTACTTTTTATTCAAATTAAAATCGGGTCCGCATTTGCCTAATTTTTAGTTGATCTGATTGAGAGTTTTTGAGCAGATACCCACTAAACTGACCTCTATGAAGAAAGATGTCTCACCGAATTTCGAATATGCAAACATACCGATTTTTTCTGTATTTTCTGAGTTTAAAGGATACCAGGTAGTTGCATTCGTTTTATAATTAGCTTTTTCTCACAAATGCAATACGGTTAATTAATTGAAAAACTATTTTTAAAGGTTGTTAGGCATTTAGGCGACGAGACTCATTCAATGGTCAGCGACAGTTGGTCTACCGATGTTCTGGCCAGTGATTCAGAGTTCACAGTCGATCTGCAGGCTTTGCCCGGAGCAATGGTCCCTGCTGCTGCTCTTCCCGATATTATTCCAGAGCAGCCACCGGAGATTCCCCGTTTAGACCTGATAGCCGAAGAGAACGTGAGAAAAATCTCTAATCGAACCAGTGAATTCGTACCGTGCGATCGAAGCGACACGTGGTCTGTCGACGCAGTGGCATCAGATTCAGAAACGGAACCGGTTCGGCCAGAAGAAAGGTTAAATGTAAATGCGCGGCTTTAGATGCGTAGTGTTAACGCGCCTCATTCTAATTTTAAGGAGTTCGATGAATTCCGGTCCGATTTTCTGTCAGTGCAGCAGAAGGACTGTCAGGGATTGTCATCAGACTTCAGGTCTGACCACCGGATTGCCAGCAGCTCAGACTTCAACAGTTCGGTTGTTGAGGACTCGATGAATCATGACTTGAGCGAGAGTTCGTTTCATTCGGACAGTCGCGAGGAGAACGTCGAGTTCTCGGCGATGATCAACGAAACGGGTCAGGAGCCGGGGCCAGAGTCGGGGTCCGCGAACGTCAGCGCCGGTGCGGCAGTTTCAAAGGGCACCACCAGCGATTGCTCATGGCTCAGCGAGTTCGCGTTGGGCATCGAATCGAAGCAGGACAGCGGTGCATCACCTGCTGAAATGCAGTCAAACGCCCCTGCCTCAGCATCAGCTTCAGAAGACATTTCGGATGTGAGGAACCTGAGAGACGAAAGAGACGGCCGCGTGGACAGTGCCGATCACGCTGCTGTGTCCGCCAGCAACGCTTCGTCCGAAAATATCGGTGATTGCAGCGAAAAGAATTCTTATTCTCCTATGGAACCGTCAACTTCGGGCATCAGTTCTTATCAGAATCGAAGGGACAGTTTGTTCAAAAGTCTGAAGTTGAAGTCGCTTAAAAGTATGGCAGTATATTTTTGTTTATCCCTATTGTAATTCTTAACGGCTACTCTTTGCGTAGAGGAATGTGAATTATTAAGCAACTTTGCCTACCGTGATCGGGTTATGGCTCAGGATTTCAGGCTCGTGAGACTTTAAACTCAACTCTGCGTGCGCTGTTTCCAACTTATTTTCATAGACATCCGTAAAATCTGATTATATTTTATAAAGTACAGTAATGTCTGTGTCGTTTGGTCGACTTTCGTTCGGATTTGCTAATGCATCTTCGCTTTAGGCAAATTTCAGTCATCTCATTTGAGCAGTGGTGTAAATCTGCTGCCGTTCGTTCATTTTGCGTCTGACAGCTGTCTGATTAACTGTGAAATGCCGTCGAAGCCGCATTATGAAACTACCGATGACATTCTGAATAAATACCGTAGTCCACATCGGTCAGTCGGTCAGTCTTCAGGAGAAGGCGACGAAACGTCTTCCAAATTCCTTCACATTGCTCAGCCAGATATTGCATTCAGCGGGAGCAATTCTTGCATTTCCAACCGTCCTTACGTCGATATGTCAAACCTGACCATCTGCCAGGCGTTCCTGGATACAAAGCGCAAGCTGCGGATGGTGCTCAGTTCAACAGTGTTCGATTCTTTACCGTTTAGCGGTTTGAGGTATGGGTTGATTTTACAGCTTTGTGTTTTTGCTGTGCGTTTCACTGTTCCTCTCACAGGTTGTCCAAGGATCAGAAAAGTAGTGAGGACCTGATCCAGCTTTTGCAACTATTTTTGTCCGAGTCGTTGATCAACGAGGAAAAGTCTGTTTCCGCTCAGCTTCAGGACTTACTTCGTTCGCTCGGGTTATTTGATTCGAAAGGGTAATATAATCGTGTTGTACTCTCGTTTTACATATGCATTCGTGCTTTCTGCGCACAGGGTCGAAAAAGCTACGCCTTTTCGCTGTCAGTATAAGTGCAGTTTCAGTTAAGAGCTTTTTGTCAGTTGGGGCTCATTCGTCTGTTTGAAGAATACTGACTGGCATCTAGATAGACTTAAACTAAGAAAAACTACACATCAATCGTTTTTTTGGTGATACAGTGCCATTATAGTATTAACGACTGACATACCCCTGGGTTCATTGGGAAACCATATAGCGGAATGTGCAGTGGGTTGTTCGGTTTTGCAACATGATCGAAAAGCCACATGCGTTTTGGCTAGGAGTAAATCAGTTCATCTAAAATGTATCCTGCCAACGTCGTGTTCTGGTAAAATGACCATAATATAACCGTAGGTTTTCATGGGTAGCGGAAACATCAACTTTGGTAGGCATTTAATTTGCCTACTTAGTTACCAGTGTATTATGCAAATAAGCACATCACTTCGCGAAATTATTTTTCAGTGCATATAGCATTACTGCTGTGGGGAGGCATATGCGTAGGAACGGTTCCATGTAATGTAAGACTGCCGTGCTTAGATGCGTCTCGCCTCAGTTTACTGGGTAGGATAATGCCTCAGTCGTTCCTAGTGACAGTTCAGGTATCGAGAAACATCGAAAATATCGTTTAATGTGCCGAAAACCAGTTCTCCTTATATGCTTTCTCAAAAATAATCAAGAATATAGGTGTTCCCATAACTCTAGCTGTGTACTGCATGATAAAATTCCATTTGACAATGACCTTTGAATGATCCATCAGAGCATCTAAGAACATGAAAGCTTTGCCCTACCTCGAGAAATCCGGTTAATGTATTTCCTCTGTAGGAGCCAGTATTTCTAGGCATTACTGCATAAAAATAAGTTTGTAGAAATAAGCACTGAAATGACTTTTCCTTTAGGCAGCTGGAACGAACTGGAACCATTTTTGATACGATTAGTTTCTAGGCTACGGGTTTATATGACAGCACTCAAACATAATGTAATTCTGCGTATCTGCTTTTCTCCGCGTATGTATTTACACGGCCTTTATTGTTAGTACATTTTATCTGCTATTCATTGATTTATTAATTAGCGAGTAGTATGGCATTTTTACTGCTCTTAGAAATAAACGCAATCATTTAAGCAAACCTGATCCCTTGGTATGTGAGTTTATCTGCGTAAACTGCAAGATCCCCAATTTGGCGACGGCGACTTCCAGCGATAAACGGGATGTCTGTTAGCTTAGTTGTGCATAAGATATTTGAGGAATTATTTCCGACTGGTCAAACAGGGCCAGTACGGGCAATATTAGCTACCGCACGGCGCTGTCTTTGCATAATCGGCTACAGGAAATGACTTGCTTACGCATGGCATTATATTGTTGATTGTTAGGAAGCATATAATGGGACATCATGTAGCAAAACATGAGGGAGCGAAGGACAGGATAAAAGTATATTGCCATCGTTTAATACATTCACGACGATGCAACGACACTGTTCTTGACTGTTTCATTTCGAATCCGTTCTGACACAGATAACTCTTTGGTTGACTGTCCATTACAAGTAATTATGTTACGTACCCAGTATTTGAGTTATCATTCTGTTCCTGCCCACGAGGAACGCTTATAGCTTGCCTTAGATTACTGTTTTATATAACAGAGAGCGTTATTTTAGCGAAAGACCTTGGGTGACAGTTGCACTGCACACAGTAGCAATAATTTCAATGAAAATTGACTAGCAGAATCCTGTACGAAATGGTACTATTCTCTTCTGAACACGGATACCTTCCGTAAATGTATAGATCAAGGTAGGAGGTAGGTCTAGTTACACAGATTATTTTATCACAACCCTTCACTCTTGCGTGCGAGTTTCTCATGGAAGAACCGGGACACAGCAGACTTCGACCAGAGATCAGCTTGCAACACTGATGAATAAGATTTCGAATATCTGTGTTCGAAGAGGTTTTCCTTCCACACTGCGTTAGCAGGTGTCTTATAGTAAGATTATTTAAAAGCTAGAATGCAAATCACCATCACAAATTGAAGAATTCCTATAACGGCAAACGATCGTTATTTATAATAAACAGCGACAACCAGTCATCACTAATCTGTTTTAGTGGCGAATAAGAGAGACCCAAAGCTAGACATACAGGAAGAAATGCAGCGGGGTATCCGTTTCGTAGACCGCATATTTCCTGTAGCGGAACGACGATGGGGCTACATTAAAAAAAGTTTCGTTGTTTGCTTTTGCTGTTTCAGCTATTGTGACAAGTTTTGCGACCTTTTTTCAACCAGTTGTGTTTGTTGAATTTCATTTTTGTTTTTCATTTAATTTGTATGTTTCTCGGCATTGAGGATTCACAAGTTGCTACGCGCGCTTCACGAAGAACATCGACGTCGTTCAGCTTACCTTTTCTATCTTCAGCAGTCGAAGCTGACGTTGCTGCGTTCGAAGCTCTACTTGGAGAAGCTGATTTCTAGGCTTCAACGGTTGGTTGCCACCGGCGTTACTGTCCGTGTTGTTGTGTCGCTCGATCGTATGAGCTTTTGCTTTTCTAGGGAACAGAGGTCGAATGTCTACTCGACCGTCGAGTTGTGCGTTCGTCTTTATCTTGAGCAGCGATGGGAAAGACAGATAAAAAGCTTTGTGCACGAGTTTCGAAATCTGCAGGCACAAGACGAGAAGATGGACTTGTTGGAGCGGCTCTTAGCCGCCATTCGTTCTTCGATGAGCAACGATAGCACGTGGCAGTGTAAAGATGAACTTGTTGCTTTACCTCTCTCGTATATTTTTTTACATCACATAAGACATGCACAAACTGCCGCCTTCGTTTGGTTTGCCTACGTAGTGTCTCCAGCTTTGACTCGTCAGTTGGAATGTCAGCTTATTGATGATTTTAGCCGTGACTCGCCACTAAGATCGTATGCCTTTTTAAGGGGGAATCTGGATTTAAGAGCTAGCAAAAATTCAGGTTCGCATGGTCAGCAGTATTTATGATCACAGATTTTCGCATTAAATTTTCAGTCTTTCTCAAGAATTTTGAACTTTTCAATTTTTATTATAATTCTTTTTGAAAGATTTGGCTTGCGCAAAGTTGTTTTCGCCAGGCGAAGTCTGTGTTTGTGAGTTACAAGCACCATCTAATATGACGTAAAGACCATTATTACGTAAAATTTTTCGGATTTTAAGCATATGCACTGTTGTTATTCATGCTCAGGAAAATATGGCTTAATGTCAAATTTCCTGCGCAGTTAAGGTTCGGCATTAACTCATCTGTGTTTTCGATGGCGACACACTTGATAGTGAAGTTCTGCGGGAAGTTGCTCGATACCGCATTCCCTATGCAGATGACGTGGTGCTGAACAGTAAAAGCAGAAAAGCGATAGAGGCAGAAACCGAGGCATGAAAAAAACTGCTTAAGAAACCAGGCTTCAGCTCAGCAAAGACAAGTCAGAATACATGACGGACTATTTCAGTGCGGAGAGCAGAGGGGCGGCCAACGAATCAATGAAGGTAGCTGGCAGTATACTACCTCACACCCAAAAATTCAGCTGTCTTTGCTCCATCCTTCAAGACAATGGAGAAATAAACGTCGAATTAAGACATCGGTCGACAAAAGTGTGTACTGTACGATATGACATGCCCATCAAACTAAAGGTAAAGGTGTGTTGGACGATCGTAAGGTCAGTACTTCTGTACGGAGCTGAATGTTTGGATACCCTGAAGATACGTGAGTATTAGCTGAACACTACAGAAATGCGAATATTCTGATGGATTTATGGTGTTAGCAAGATGGACTACATCCGGAATACCTCCATAAGAGGTTATTTAGGTGTTGCTACAGTTACAGAAAGGCTTATTGAAAGCATGTTCGTCCATGTGAAAAGAGGATCCGATGAGTGCGTTTGAAATATGGTCCAAGCACTGATATTGCTTAGGGAGAAAAGAAGACCCTAAGTGGTGACCTAGTGACTTCTTGGTGCAGTGTCATAGAAAAATATGTGAAGAGATGAAAAATAACCGCAGATTTGATGAAAGACCGAACAGTGTGAAAGCAGGTGATTCGAACAGCGGCTGCCTGTTAAA